TCCAGAACCTTGTTTGCAAGATTAATTTTGTTAATAAAACTATTCTTCCTCTACAGTTTCAAAGCAAATTCCAGTCTATCTGAGGTTGTGTTATTACAAGACTCTAACTTAACAGATTCTGAATTATAGAGTTTTACTATCCTGTGGTTTTCTTCAGTGCCAATTAACAAATACCTGAAATATCACCTTTCCCCACCCCTTCCAATATTTTCAGGGCATATCTGAGAGTCTTTTTAAAAAGTGCTTTGCTTTTTAATATGACAACTTTTATAAAATGTTTCCCTAAAGATTAATTTTAAATACTCATGTCACTATATTGCTTTCTTCAGGATAAGAATATAATTTTTAAAAAATCAAAGGACAGTAATTCAAATTAAAAGATCTAGATGCCTACTAAAGTATCCTGAAACTGATTCCTTTTAATTTTTATATGCTGTTTCCGAATCCTCAACCCCCTCACAACCATTTTATCACAGTATTTTAGCAGTTCCTATTAAACAATTTAAAATTTTTAAAGCTTTACATATCACACTCATTTCTGTTCAACACTAAACCACTTCCTTGCTGTATAAAATAAATAACCAAGTAAATGATGCCATCCTTGAAAAAATCAATTCAAACAGTTAAGTACAAAATAGATTTCATTTCAAACTATATGCCATTTCTAGCACAGAAATCTGTTTAGTATCTTACCAATTAAACTACTTAGTGGGGAAAAGGAGAGTTACAACGAAGAACTCTTTGAAAATTAAGTAGAAATAGTAAGTTAATAGTTTTAATAAGACACTGGAGAACCTGTCACACCATAAGAGATTATTTCAGAGCTGCTTATGTATAATTCTTCATCAAACTTAAAATAAAATTTTGTGGGCAGAGGTTTCATGTTTGAATTGCAATGCATTGTTAAGTTCAATACTTAAAGAATTTGGTGGTATGATAAAGATTTAGACTTTTGGAAGAGTTGGCAATACTAAATTTAGTGTATGACTAACCTATCAGAATTAGTAGATAATTTTCCTCCTCATCTCTGTCAGCATAAGAAAGATGAAAAGTTTTCCCCACAGCTACCTTGTAGGTACTTTTTAATAATATGACCCAGATATTTCAAATCATTTAAATGAAATCTTAATGTTTTAATAATACAGAGAATACTGACAAGCTCTATTAAAAATTAAAGAATCTTTAAGATGTTGGGAGAAATAGGAAGATGATACAAATTATGATAAAGTTTAGGATTTTCCATTTTGTATTTTGTTTGGTTCCTTCAGTCATGTCCAACTCTTTGTGACCCCATTTGGGATTTTCTTGGCAAAGAGACTGGAGTAGTTTGCCATTTCCTTCTCAGGCTCATTTTATAGATAAGGAACTAAGGCAAATAGGGTTAAGTGATTTGCCCAGGGTCAAACAACTAGTAAGTGTCCAAGGCCAGATTTGAACCCAGGAACCACTGTGCCACCTAGCTGCCCTAGGATTTTCCATAATTTATTCCAAATGAAATACTGGGGGTTTTTTGTCCTTGAAAAATACAAGCATAAGATCTGGGGAGACTAACATACTAGTTAGCTCCAGAATTTGGGACTGAACTGGCCAAGGTCAGACAAGTAATGAACATTAAGAGACAGAATTCGAACCCAAGTCCTCTCTCCTGATTACCAGGACTGCATTTCCTACTGTCTAATGGACATTTCTAACTTATCCTCTTCTCTTTTCCTTCTACATTATTTGATTTACTTACTTATTTTTAGTTTTCAACATTCACTTCCACAAGATTCTGAGTTCTAAATTTTCTTCCCCTCCCCAAGATGGTGTGCAATCTGATCCATCATATTATTTCATTTGGTGACCTCACTGGCTCACAAGGATTGGACTGTTATCTGTACACAGATTCCCACACTTCCTTCCAACATTTCCAACACCTCTTTCCTGACCTCTCACATCTCACAGAGAGTCTCACATTTTTATTAAACATTTCAAACTGGATATACTATAGACATCTCAAACTCAACATATCAAAACCTGAATTTTATCCAGTCTCCGCCCCCCCGCACAACAAACCCTTGCCTCTTCTTAACTTTTTTACTACTATCAAAGCAAACATCACTCTCCATAAGTCCCAGTATATACTTCCTTCTCTTCTCTGACACTGCAACCACTACCAGTGCAGGATCTTATCACCTCAAGCCTGAACTATTGCAGTAGCCTTCTAGTTGATCTCCATGTCTTAAGTCTTTCCCCATACCAGCCCATTCTTCATTTAGCTGTCAAACTGATCTTAAAACATGGATCTGAACATATCACCTCACTATTCAATCAATGCCAGTGGCTCCCCATTACCTCCAGGATCAAATGTAAAAAAATCTTCTGTTCAGCTTTTCAAACCCTTCATAAGATTGCACTTTTCTACCTTTTCTGTCTTCTTACACCTTACTCCCCAACAAAATTTGGCCTCTTTGCAGTTCCTCCTAGAACAAGACATTCCATCTTCCCACTGTGCACTTTCACCAGCTATCCCTCATGCTTAGAATTCTCTTTTTCCTCATCTATTTTTTCAGATTCCTTCAGATTCCAGGTAAAATCCTACCTTCTACAAGAAGCGTTTTCCAATTCACCTTAATGTTAATGCCTACCTCTGCAATTATCTCCAAGGTCCCCTGTCTATACCTTGTTTGTACGTAGCTATTTGCATATTGTCTCCACCATCAGACTGCAAACTCTTTGATAGAAGGGACTCTTTGCCTTTTTTGGATCCCCAGTGTCTTAGCCCAATGATTGGGACATACTAGGCACTTAATAAATGCTTGTCAATTTGACTCTGACTCTAGAGTCAACGTTCTTCAACTGCTTACTCTTTATGAGTCTTTTAAAAAAAAAGCATAAAATCCCACTGGATATTTAACCTAGTTACCTATATATAAAATAGAAGGAATTTATGACGGAGAAAAAGTGGAAACTATCTGTAAGAAGAACCCATCTGGGAAACTTTCTTAAAAACAGTTTAAGCATGATTTAAATTTTAACATCAGTGCCTTTCTGGCTTTCTGTATACAAATATATACTTTTCCCTCACACAATCAAAGTCTTATAAAAAAAAGAAATACCAAATACTTATTAAAAGTTAAAATTTACCAAGATCTGTATTTCAATAACTTATTATTCAATAAACATGTGATTATGGTTTTCTATGAGTCAAACTTTTCTGTAACTACTACACCAATATTCAGTGTAAATAAAGCATAACAACTATAACAAAATTTAAGATGAAAATGTTCTCTCAACATCTAATTTAAAGAAATTCATATCAGAGAGTACAGTAAATTTGTCTTGGGAAGAGTAATAAATAATGAAAAAGTAGCCATTCACATTTATATATGGCTTTATAAAGTGCTTCTAATAGCAACCTTGAGGATGAGTACACTTTGAAAAAACCAAATAAACATATGGTTAAGGATACAAAGCATAAACTATTAATATTCTTTACCTTTCTCCCCCAATTTTTAATAGATGCTACTTACAAAGAAAGTAAATGTTATCTAAACCCTGTTAATTCATACTATTAAAATCAGTTGGCTTACACACCAGTTCTTGCCTGTGATTCTGATACTCTGACCATTCCAAATTGAGGAAATTAAAGAGGTAAAAATGTGAAACTACGTCCATTTTAGGATTCAATGTCTGCCTGATCATGTTCAGAGTTTAAAGAAAGGAAAAGTAAAAAACATGTAAGGTTTAGAAAAACTGACAACTTGAGTATAGCACTGGTATTCAGGAAATACTAAAAGAGCCAGAAGAATGCCTCTGGCACTTTAGGTAGATTTTTTTAAGAACAACTTGTGGAAGAACAAAGACAACAAATGTACAGGATGAGAATACCTATGCACGGATTTTAATTTGCCCTGGAAGAACAGTTCAGAAAAAAAAACTTTTTTTATAAGAGTTATATTTCTAACTCTATTTCTCCTAATCATGATGAGCTGTGCTAGTATTTCTCTCCATGTTAAAAAAAAAAACTACTCCTTAAATTTTCTTTTCTGTACATTACTTTGTTTTGTTCTGGCCTTTTTGGTTCAAACCTGGCTAGACCTGTGATTTCATTGGAATAGGGAACTCCAAATAAGGAAACTCTCCAACCAACGCAGATTTGCAACGGTTCTGCAACTTGTAGTCTTAAGAGAATTATCCAGGGCATTGAGAGGTTACATGTCTTGCCCCGGGTCAAATGGACTTAAGAGTCCTAAATGGGACTTGCCCTGGTTATCCAGAGTCTGGGGCTGGCTCTTTAGTCACTATGCCATGATTCCTCTCATCCTATAGCTTAACTGCATTAAGGTCAATAGGATCACAGGATTTGGATCTGGAAGGAAGTTTTTTAAAGAGATCAACTAGTCAAATCATATAGATTTCCCTGGCAGTGGGGGCTGGTTTAGGCATAACAAATCATTAGAGGCAGACAAAGCATTCATTAGGAGCTTAAATAAAAACATCATTTAATGTAGTTACAATGCCGATGCTGTATGCAGAGCAGCAGTATTACCAGGAACTACAAAGTCATCGGAGAGAGAGGCCCGTCAGGTTTTAAGCTAAATCCTTCTCTTCCCTCCAACCCCCATACACAACCATGTGATAAGCCCCAAAGAGTCAGGTCTCAAATTTAGGAAATTATAGGCTTTAGAAGCAGGGGCCTCAATTCATCCGAGTCCCGACCCTTAATTTTTACAGATGAGGAAACTGAGGTCTACGGTGGTAAAAAGTGACACGTCCAAGGTCAGGCAATTAAACTCCTAGGAGGTGCCAGCCCGGGACGCGTCCAAGTCCAGGGCTGGACCGGTGAACAGCCGGGTCTCGTAGGCGTCGCATTAACTCCAGCTCGGCGGCTGGAGGCGAGCGCGGGGTGCGGGGGCAGCGGGGTCGCCGGCTGTGCGGCCTGCCTCCCGCCCGCTTGGCCCTCCCCTTCCACGCGCAGACAAGCCCCCGAGGGCTGAGGGCTCCCCGCCCCCACGTACCTGGGAGGAGGCGGCGGCCGGAGGCGGCGGCGCTGTCCCCTCTGCCCGGCTCTCCTCTTCCTCTGGGGAATCATCCAGAAGCACTTTGCTCTTGTTCAGTTTCCACATGCTACAGTAGGGTTGGGGGCGTTCTCTTCCCCACCCCTCTTTTTTTTTTAACTTGCTGGATGTCTGTCGGGATGACTGGTTGAGGATCTATAAATTTTTTTCCCGAGTTTATGATTTCTGTCCCAAGACAAGGAGAGAAAAAAAAAAGAAACTAAACTTGTGAAAACTAAAGGGGGTCAGGGGGCGGGGACGGGAGGGGGCGGCGCCCCCAGCCTCCCGCCTCACACTACGCCACCCTCCCGCTACTCCTCCCGTCAGCCCCGGCCCCAACTCGAACCCCGACTTGGGTCAGCTCCCCTCAGCTTGGGATGTGTGTATCCGCACATCCCGGGGTCGTGGCTTGGGCGTGCGCCCCCCCCGTACCCTCAGCCCCGAGACTGCCTCTGTCCCGTCTCACCCCGTCACCCCTGAGGCCGACCCCAACTCTGTCCTCCTCAGGCCTGCGGCCGCTTCCGTGCTCTCCCTCAGCCTAGCCTCCCCTCATCCACCCAAGGCCGCCAGGGTCCCCTCCATCCCGTCCCCGCAGCCCTCCACCACCGCCCCCTCCCCAGGCCGCCCTAGCCTCCGCCTTCCCCGGCCCCAGAGCCGCCTCAGTGGCTTTCCCTTCGCTCCTCGGGAGCCGCCGTCTCACCAGTGAGGGGCCCCCACCCCCGGCCAGAGCCCAGAGCTGGAGCAGAAGCCGGAGCCACTGGAGCCGCAGCCGCCGGCCGGGGGGCTCGGCCATGTTAGTTTCAAGCAAGCTGCAGCGCGCCGGGTGCCGGGGGAGGGGAGGGGAGGGAGGAGGGAAGGTGCAGGGAGGGGGCAGGGGAGGAGAAGAGCCGCTTCCCAAGGAGAGACGGGCTTTCCGGTTACCACGGCAACCGGTGCCCCGGCCTAGACCAAGAGGGAGAAGAGGCACAGCAGCTGGCCACTGAAAGGGCGAGCTGCTCGCTCTTCGCGCATACTCAGTGAGAGTTTCTCGCTTCCTCCTAGGAGGTTCGGTCGTGCAGTAGCGAGAGTGTAGGCTTTTGGAGGAGGTGACCGGAGTTCGAATTGTGCATCTGCCCGTGTGAGACCTTGGGCAAGTCCCAAGGACAGCAAGACTGCTGAGTTCTGTTCCAACCCCAAACCTATTATGAGCCCTCTGTAGGGGAGAATTGGGGAGAGCAGGCACACAACGGATCATGAGATGACAAGATAAGTTGCAGGAGAGGACCTTGAGAGGTCATCGAACCCCTTCTTTTACAGACAGGATACTGAAAGGTTTACCGAGGTTTCACATGACTGGTCCTTGTCAGAGTCTGGACTCAAACCCAGGTAACCAGACTTAATTCCCCCATTGACATATAAAATCCTCAAGGGCAGGGGCCGTATTATTGTTTTTCTTTGTATACCCAGCGCTTAGCACTGTGTCTGGCAGGTAGGAAAAGCTTAATAAATGTTTATTGACTAACTAACTCCAAGCCACTCTTTGCACACTAAACAGGAAAATACATTGTAAAAAGGTTAAGGTGAGGTAATGGAGGGGCAAGGAAGGTAGTGAAAAATGCCCTGGGGCAATTAACGTGAGTTCACAGCTAGAAGGGAAAGTTCCCCAGTGTTCTCCAATTACAATGATCTTAGAATTCACTTGTGTAGTAGGAAGTCTCCAGTGAGTTTTCTTTCATACAGAAGAGTTATGTCATTTTTTACTTAGGTGGAAAACCAAGTTTAAGGGAAAAAGAACTTTCACGTGCCCTGTATAATTTCATTAGTCAAAACCACAAAGGAGTAATAAAGCCCCCTTAAGGAGGTTGTACAGATATTATACCTATTTAATAGGTGGGCAAAATAGCCTTGGCGACTCTGCCAGTCTTTCACTTGCGTGCACCCTACATGGAAAAGGGGTGGGGTGGGGGTGGGGAATGTCTTGGATTTCTAGTGTCCTAAATGCATGCTTTTGGATGGAAGAAGGGGGGGGGAGACAAGAAAAAAGGACCGAAACAATCATATTCACCTGGGTCATACCAGATAGACATTCCACTTTAAATGCTTACCATCTGTTTTTACACTTACTGAGCACCTATGCAAGGCACTGTGAAAATGAAAAACTACAAGAATAATGTAGGAAATATAGGAAAACTACAAGAATATTACAAGAATAATCTACCAGCATTGTGCAAGGTGGTTTATCCAGGAGGCAGGGAGGTGCTTCAGGAAAAACTATTGTTATAATTTTAGCCTGAGATGGTGGCAGTGAGCCTGGAAAGAATGTAAAACATTACAAAGGAAGAATTTACAGCAATTGGTAACTGAATATGGAAATCAAGGGAGGGGAAATTTAAGAAGCCTCCTGATCAGAGAGACTGGGAGAATGCTAGTACCATTGCCAGAAATGGAGAGGTCTATAAGTGGAGCTAGTTTAGTGGGGGAGTGAGGAAAAGAGGTGTAGAAGAGCCTGAGTTGAATTTTAGGCATATTCAGTTTGAAGTGAAGCTGAGTAGGCAAATAGAAATGTACCACAAGACCTCTGGAGAAGAAGGATTTGAATTTAGGAGACAGGTCACTCTGGAGATAGAGACTCAGAATCATTCACTTGAGAATACCAAACTGGGGTCTAGTTCTATTAACTCCCAAAATTTTGAAAAATTACTGGTGACAAAGACAACTTTCAGATGCTTGAACTTCTACTTCAAAATTCAAAAGCAATACCAGTAGTAAGTCTATAAAAAAAATTGCTTATTGTGTACTCTTTTAATTGTGGGTGAGGAGAGAAGGGCTAACTGCTTTACTAAATTGTAGCAGAATTCTTGGCATATTTTGTCCTCCCATCAGATACCAACCACTCTTTAAATGACCTCGAAAGTCCCACTTCAAACATACCAACAATTTAAACAAAAGACATTTAAACTCCTAACCACCATTCCTCCCCATCCCCCATTACAAAGTAACAAACCAAATTTCAGGAGTTTGGAGGGGAAAGGGCAAGTTCAGGGCACCTCCTTCTTTCTCCTACTGTGTTCAAAGTTCTTACTTGCTGCCAAAATAATCTTCCTAAAACACAGCTTTGACCATGTCACCAGTTCACTCGCTCAGAGGCCTTCAGTAGTCTCTGAAGATTGCCACCACAATAGGGATTCTGAACCTGGGGTCCACAGAGGCTGGATAGATTTCAAGGGGTCCACTAAATTGGATAGGATGTAAACATTACATCTTTATTTTCACTAACCTCTAACTCAGGAGTTTTTAACTTTTTTGAGTATCATTGACCCCTCTTGACAGTCTGGGGAAGCCAATAGACCTCTTTTCAGAATAATATTTTTAAATGCATAAAATAACATATGTAGGATGTCAAAGGAAACCAGTTATATTAAAATAGTTATCAAAATATTAAAAAAAAACATCTTGAGCCAGTGCTAGCGCTTTCCCCTTCAACTCATCTCAAATTTGTTCTGTCTGTACCTTGTTTGTACGTAGTTGTTGTAAGCTCCCCATTAGACTGTGAGCTCCTCCAGAGCTGTGACTATTTTTGCCTTTCCTTGTATCCCAATCCTTTGGCACAGTTCCTAGCATGAAATAGGTGCTTATAAGTGTTTGTTAACATAGCTTGATTTGACCACAGATTAAGAATCCCTGCTTCTAATTGAAATATGGCATTTCTTCCAATGTAGGCAAAAAAGAATTATTCTGAGAATGAGTCCATAGGCTTCATCAGATTGCTGAAAGGATCCATAACGCACAAAAAGGCTAAGAACACTTGCTGTAGGGTAAAATACAGACTGCTTAACCGGGCATTTAAGGCCCTTCACAATCTGGCCCCAAGCTATCTTTCTAATTCTTTTTTATGCTACTTCCCTCTTACAAGTTCTCCATATCAGCTAAACTGGGCTTCCCCCCCCCATTTCACCTCTCACCTGTGCATTGACAAACTGCCTCCTTGTGCTTGAAATTCACTCTTGCTCCATCTCTTCTCAGAATACTAATTTTCTTTTAAGGTTCAAATCAGGTCAAGCCATTTCCTCCATGAAACCTTCATCTCCCTTCTCAAAGTATTTACTCATATGTCTATATATTGGGTCTTCCCATCCCAGTAAAAATGTCTGCTCCTTGAGAGCAGGGACAGTTTCTTTTAGCAGAATGCCCTTCACATACAAAGCAGTTTACTGAATGTTGAATTGAATTTAATTAAATTGTTAATTTAGCTCTGTAAAGATGAATTTGAACTTGGTTTGAGCCTAATCTTAAAGAATAAGGATAAGGTTTCTGGGCCACTTTCACTACATAGCAAAGTCCTAGAAGAACAAAACAATCAGGATATCCCTTGAAACTGTCAAGGATTTTTTTTTTTAACCCAGGTATCTGCATTCACAATTGCTGAACTTTGAATCATCATTCACTGATGACAATGACCAAAATGACATTTTTTTCATTATGTCCTTGAATCTTGAGCACCTAGAACACAGTCTCTTAAATATAATAGGTTTTTAATGTTTGTTGGATTGGATTAACTCTCCCCATTGTTTATCCAGAACAGTGGATAAGCACAGAACTGGAATACAGGAGACCTGAATCTTAGTCCTAACTGGCAGTGTGACCTTGGGGAAGTTCACTTCATATCTCTGAACCTTGGCTTCCCCTCTGTAAAACGAAGAGATTATACTAAATATTTCCAAGTTTCTTTAAGTTTTAATCTTCTGGACCTTTGACCATTGCACCACATTGCTTCTTACTATCTGTTATTCTATTACAAAGAAAGATTGCCCCGTATATGCCTGTATGTTTATTTAAAAACCACTAAACTATATATTCCCATTAATTGTTTGTTTGTTTTGGTACCCTCAAGAATCACAATGACTACATTGTAGGTTGTAGGTTCCTCAAAATTGAAAGAGTAAAATCAAGAATATTGTAGTAGGGATCCTACTTGATGTGGGAAATCGGACTAAATCACCTCCAAGTTCCAGATCCTTTGAACTCCTGGATTTTATGAGTCCTCTGTGGCATTCCATTACTACATTAGCAGTCAAGAAACCTGGATTCTCATGCTACTTCTGCCACTAATTAGATATGCAACCATAGTCAAGTCCCTTCCCATCTTTGAGATTCAGTTTTTATGTGAGGAAGTTGAACTAGATTTCTAAGGCCCTTTCGAGCTCTAACATTCTATGAACTTCTAACTTCTCTGTCTACCATTTCTGGCATTATACCTCCTCATTCTCATTTCAGTTTCTAACACCAGTTGTCTTATTTCCTTTTTCTTTCTCTTCTGATCTGCTCAGGTTCAAAAACACTTTGAATCTTTACTTTTAAATTTTTAGGTGCTCTAGCAAAGGGCCCCACCTACCCCAGAAGAAGGAGAATTTGGGGTAAAAATACCCTTCCCCATATCTATCAGCCAACCACAATCGAATCAAACTCTAATCCCAATCTTGGACTCTTCACAAACCAATAAAATGCATCCCCAAAGTAGAGGCACACATTCACAAAAAACCCAAGCAGAATTATCAACAATTTATGCTGGTCAATCATTCAAACTTATTAAAGCCACATTCCATTAGGCTCTGCCATCAGGCAAGAGTATGCTTTACTATCATATGTCAGAAACAATGTCTATTTCCCAAGAATTAAAAACATACCTTACTCGGTGGATCCAAGAAGCTAAGTTCCATTTGCAGAGGTACAGGTACACACACCCACACCTTGCCTTCACAACAACAATGCTTCAAGAACTGCAAGGATGTAGTCTTGGCAATTCTCGCTTTATTCACTACAAACTCATAATGTATTTGTATCTTATCCTCACTACAAACCTGTCAAAACAAGCACACCCTAAACCCCAAAAACATTTATAAAAGCCAGATGCCATAAAACAAAGGATATTGAACAAAGACAAGGACAAAATGCAAACAAACACATTACTAACACAAAGACATTTCAAGAAATA